GTGGAAGGAAGGATACTCTTTGCAGTCATCTGGTCAATAATCCAGAGAATATAAATCTGTCTATTCCCCATCATTTCGTCAGAACTGAAGAAGCTTCTTGGAGGAGAAGTGAAACGTCTTCAAGGAAAAACAAAGTCCAGTTGCCTTTGGAAAAAGCACTTTTTGGGAGTTCAAAAATCAAGCAGTTCAATAGCCTGATGGCTTCAAAATTGGGATGTGGAGAATTTGAGAAGAGATGAAAGAAAAGAAAGAAAGAAAGAAAGAAAGAAAGAAAGAAAGAAAGAAAGAGAAAGGTAGATAGATAGATTAGAAAGAAAAGATAGGTAAGTAGGTAGATAGAAGAAAAGAAAGAGAAAGAAAGAAAAAGGAAGGAAGATAGGTAAGTAGATAGATAAGAAAGAAGGAAGGAAGGAGAAAAAGAAAGGAAGGAAAAGAAAGAAGGAAGGAAGGGGAAAAGAAGGAAGGAAGGAAGACGCTTAATAGTAGATTTAAAGGGAATTTTGCCATAGGAATAGCAGCTGGAGAATGTTGGGCTATCCAAAGAAGGGTAACAAAGCAATTCCAGCCTACTTCCGCCAAGGTAGGGGACACTTGTCACAAACTCTGCAATTCTTCGGAAGGAGCTCTTTCCAAACCTGGAAGAAAATCCCGCCTCTAGCAATTAAGCTCCTTTTATTCCAGGAAGAATAGTCTAACTATTATGAAGTCCCAGACGGCTTTCCTCTGAATGCTGTGAGCTTCTGGAGAGCTAAAACAAAAGGCCCATTGCTTTCTCGGCGGAAAATCTTGTTCCACGAACGTCTTGTTTTTTTTTGGAGGGGGGGGAAGTGGTGCCAGGAAAGGGAGCGAGATCCAGGAGAGAAGCATTAGAGGGGGACTAAAATTAGGCCTGGCTTTGTGAAACCCAAGGGGGGGGGCTTTAATGATGTCATGCTAAGCAGCCTCCCCCTCTCCCTCAATTTAGGCAAAGAGGAAGGGGAAAGACTCATCCCGCTCAACTTCAGGCTGTTTACGTGACTGATTCATTGCAGGGCAGCTGCCTGGGTGGTCAGAGTGCATAGAAGCCCCCGCAGGCGAAATTTAATGAAGTGATCTGGACAGACGGTCGAGAGAGAAGGACGCATCGCCCTAATGATGCTGCTTTTCTGTATCCAGGAACATCAAAATCAGTCAGAACTGAATCTGTTTCACAGATGCAGGCCTCTGTGTCTTTCTTTCTTTCTTTCTTTCTTTCTTTCTTTCTTTCTTTCTTTCTTTCTTTCTTTCTTTCTTTCTTCCTTCCTTTCTTCCTTCCTTCCTTCCTCTTTCTTTCTTTCTCTCTCTCCCTTCCTCTCCCCTCTCTCCTGCCAGCCAGCCATCTCTTCCTTCCTCCCTCCCTCCCTCCCTCCCTTTCTCTTCCCATCTCCTTCCTTTCTTCCTCCCTCCCTCCCACCTCCTTCCTCCCTCTTTCTTTCTTTCTTTCTTTCTTTCTTTCTTTCTTTCTTTCTTTCTTCTTTCTTTCTTTCTTTTTCTTTCTTTCTTTCTCTCTCTCTCCCTTCCTCTCCCCTCCCTCCTGCCTGCCAGCCATCTCTTCCTTCTTTCCTTTCTTTCTTCCATCCTTCTTCCTCCCATCTCCTTCCTTTCTTCCTCCCTCCCTCCCTCTTTCTTTTTCTTTCTCTCTCTCTCTCTCTCTGTCTGTCTGTCTGTCTCTTTCTTTAAATTTTATTTATTTCAAAGATAACACTAAAAAACCCCACAAAAACAAAAAGGTAAAAAAAATTTTTTTACAAAAAAAGTGTACACAATATAGAGAGAGAGCCATCATTAAACTTATATTTTCCACCCTGGTTGAATGTTGACAAATATGTCTCAAATAAATCTAATAAATCCCCCCCTTGCACAATGGGTCTACAGGTAATTATAGCCTTTCTCATCCGTACTTGCTGTATTTACTATATTACTATTTTACGTGACAGTTCTTTAAAACGGATCTCATACATAAAAAAAAAATCCAATGTCTTTTTGTGTCTGTCAGCAAACCGGGCGAGATCTTCTTCATTCTTTCTTGCAATATTCCCTAACATATGGTGTCTTGTATGGAAATTCCATGAAAAGAAAAAAAAAAGCATTGTGCCAAACCACGCCTGAGTCACAAGCTTCAAACCCAATTATTTTTTACCGTGGTGGTTTTTGCACAAGGAATAAACATTCGTCTCTGTACAAGGGTACCATTTCTTTTGATTTGTAAACTTGTTTAATAAATATTCTGCATTTTTTGGGGAAGGGAACGTCTTTACCGGTTGATGCATTTAGCTGCAGAGAAGAGAAGAGAACGCTAATGCATTGCATTAATTCCTCTGTTAGAGTCCAGTTTGACGACTGATCTCTCCGTAATGGATCTTGTTCGTTAAATATTCCCATTCCGTTCTCATCTGTGTCTCTCCCCACCGCTACGCCTCGACAATCTCAATTCTCATTTTCAACTAAGTGACTTTCAGAGAGCCTTCTTCTATATTTGGATGCTGTTTTCTGAAAATTTATCTCCGTCCATATGCATCTATCTCCAGGCCTAGACTGCTTCTCTGGAGGGCTTCTCCTACCTAGTGGGATATTTTTAAGGAAAAGGACCTTTTCATAGTAGTCACTTGGTCATCCAGAGGCCCTACCTGATATCCTCTAGCACGATTTCAGCACTAGGAAAAGATTGAAGAAAGAAAGAAAAATTTCCCTAGCTAGAAGGGTGACTTCGCTGCTGAATTCACTTCAAGGCAAATGGAAGAGAAAACTGGAAGGAATCAGAACGGCCCTAAAGAATAGGAAAAGATGATCAGCCCAGGTAAATATGATACACATCAAGAAATTTTGAGGGATCTAATTTCTGAGATGCATGGCAATTCATCCTAGAGACCATTTTACCTTAGCAATATCTGAAAATGCTGGCTGGAATATAAGAGCTCCAATGTTATACTGGAAGACGGGGGCACTCGCCCTAAGGCAATAGATGTAAAATATGATGCTGTGTAGGTTTCACCTGGTGGCCTCCTTGTCATGGATTTTGAACAACCATTTTGTCAGCTTTTCATTTCCCTCTCTACTGACCCATGGTTTCAGCACCATGGGGTTGAACAGCGACCCTGTTAGAAATTTGATGAAATACTCGGATTAGTCCTTCAATATGACAGGAAACTAGGCCCACGTTTGAGGTTAGCGTTATGTTTAAGAAACGCACTGAACAGTTGTGTCACACTGAAACCTCAAGAAACGATGCACAAACATTCAAGGACGTGGGAAGGTTAATCGCCTCTCCTGGCTTCACATGGGTGGTTCAGAATCCAACCGAGCAAAGGCCACATTCTGGATAGAGAAGACCATTTGTTTGAAAGAGGGGTCAAAGAAGCCACCTACGTCCGGGGGCCCCAACCCCAAGTCCATGGACCAGTATCGGGCCGCAGCACGCCAGCAACCAGTCTGCACAAACAAGCAAAGCCGTATCTGCGAGATGCAGGCAGCACACAAAACCACACACCCTCCAGTCCACGGAAAAACCTCTGTCCGTGGAACCGGCCCCTGGTGCCCAAAAGGTTGGGGGTCTCTGACCTATGTCAAAAACTGAACAGCCCTCTCTCAGCAGAGGAGGAGGAGGGATAAGATACCATCTATCCCATGTCTACAATGCAGTCCTTTCAGCAGTTCCAAGAAGGCTTCACGCCCATCTGCACAAGTGGCCTGGAGGACACAGGTAAACCCTCATGGGACCTCAAGAGCTCTCAGCCAGAGTACTAATGATCAGATGACTGCAGAGAAATATCCTTCCAACCCTCCCCATCCTGTAAGAACTAAACCTAAGACCAGACCTAGAATATTGCAATCAGTTTTGGTCTCCACACTATAAAAAAGATGTTGAGACTCTAGAAAAAGTGTAAAGAAGAGCAACAAAGGTGATCAGGGGACTGGAGGCTAAAACATATGAAGGACGGTTGCAGGAACTGGGCATGGCTAGTCTAGTGGAGAGAAGGACCAGGGGAGACATGTTAGCAGTCTTCCAATACTTGAGGGACTGTCCCAGAGAGGAAGGGGTCATCCTATTCTCCAAAGCACCTGAAGGACAGACAAGGAATAACGGATGGAAACTGGTCAAGAAGAGATTCAACCTGGAAATAAGGAGAAAATTGCTAACAGTGAGAACAATCAACCAATGGAACAGAAGCTGCCTTCAGAAGTTGTGGGTGCTGGGAGCTTTCAAGAAGAGACTGGACAGACATCTGTCAGAAATGCTTGGACGAGGGGGTTGGACTAGATGACCTCCAAGGTACGTTCCAGCTCTGTTATTCTATTCTATTCTGTTCTGTTCTACAATCTATTCTACAATCTATTCTATTCTATTTCTTATTTTCTATTCTATTCTATTCTATTCTATTCTATTCTATTCTATTCTATTCTATTCTATTCTATTCTATTCTATTCTATTCTATTCTACAATCTATTCTATTCCTTATTTCCTATTCTATTCTATTCTATTCTATTCTATTCTATTCTATTCTATTCTATTCTATTCTATTCTATTCTATTCTATTCTATTCTATTCTATCCTATCCTATCCTATCCTATCCTAAATCCTCCATAGCCACTACCAGTACAGGAGAATATATCCCGGCCCACATCATTCAGGATTGAAAGCAGATATTTATATTTTTTTTCCCACCAACTCTGGGCAGCCTATTGCAAATTCCAAACACAAGGGGTAAGAGGTGACCATGCCAAGGAAGGCTTATTTCCCAGTTCTATAGACTTGTGATTGTTCTCTCTTATGGAGATCAGATTCCCCTAACCTGCTGGTTTGATAACAAAACAGCCCTTTGTTGTCACAGATGGGGTTGGAATGCCAAAGTTTTGCAAATGAGCGAATTGCAAATTGCAACTTTCTCTTCCTGGTTTTTTCTCCTCCTCCTCCTCCTCCTCCTCCTCCTCCTCCTCCTCCTCCTCCTCCTTTTTCAAAACATGAATAGCTTTGAACTTGGTTACGGGAGATGCCTCTTGCATAATGAACATTTTGAATTAGTGACTCTTTGTTGTTATTGTTTTGTCATACACTCTCCTGCAGATTGGCCGACGGATCCATTTTCCATTAATATTCTGGGCTTCATTAAAGATTGAGTAAATATCCTGGCTTTTGGCAAACGCTACATCTGAGGCAGCTAAGCAGGAACCCAATGTACATTTTGAAGGATTTCTTTCTTTCTTTTTTTTAAAGGGAGTTACATTTTGGAGTCGCCCTGGATAGTTACAACTTCTGTATCAAACTGGCCTTTCAAGACACTCGCTTCCTACTAACGTAGCCTCTTTTAGCTTTTCTACTTGAATGTTAATTGTATTAATTTATACCTTGTGCAATACTTTCCATAGACTTTATTAATGGCTTAAACCTGTTGAAAATAATTTTAAAATGTTTTGCTTTACTGGGAGGCGATGGAGAACTGTTTCAAATGAATAAAGCAAATAAACCAAACTAAATAAACCCCAAATCTTTTCAAACATCTGGAAGACCACAAAACAATGTCTTCTTGTCCTGCCCTCTGGTGCTTTGGAGAATAAGTTGTTCTTTGTGGCAACCTGAGCAGGGGGTTGGACTAGATGATCTCCAAGGTTCTTTCCAACTTTCTTCTTCTTCTTCTTCTTCTTCTTCTTCTTCTTCTTCTTCTTCTTCTTCTTCTTCTTCTTCTTCTTCTTCTTCTTCTTCTTCTTCTTCTTCTTCTCCTTCCTCTTCTTTTCCTCCTCCTCCTCCTCCTCCTCTCTTTTTTTTTTTTCTTCTTCTTCTTCTTCTTCTTCTTCTTCTTCTTCTTCTTCTTCTTCTTCTTCTTCTTCTTCTTCTTCTTCTTCTTCTTCTTCTCCTCCTCCTCCTCCTCCTCTTCCTCTTCCTCTTCCCCTCCTTATCTAACTTCTCCTTCTTATCTATCTTCTCCTCCTTATCTATCTATTTCCCCTCCTTCTCCTCCTCTCTCATGTGATTCCCCTAGAGATCCATGAAAATCTATGATAGAATTTCCCAAGGAAAACAGTAGTTTATCAGGAAGATTCCTCTTATTTCTCTGTGCGAAAATAATGTAAATAAAATAACGCAATGCTCATCTTTCCACTTTGCATATCCTTTCTTCCTTGCCCTCCTACGGGACTATAATCAAACCACAAAATTCTCCTTGGTGATGTTCCGTAACCATGTTCCTTCCTTACACTGCTGCCTAATTGGACAGTTGCTCAGTGGTTTCCCCCAAGGATTATTAAGAAAATTTGTTGCAGCCATCTACCCTTCCCTCACTGTTCAGATCTCTTGACCATTTCAGAGGCCAGGAAGGTCAGATCGTGCCAACTTTCAAAAACGTGAGCTTTCCATATGCTCTTCAACAAATTGTGGGATTACAGTTTGTCAACCAGCAAGGACCTGTGGGCAGAATCAATTGGAGATTAAAGGGGTATTCAGTTCCAATAAAAATACATCTAAGATTCATACTTCAGACTGTAGCCTCAGATCTCCACCATCCCAAGAGAGCTTCAAATGGCCAATGATTGACCAGTGATGGAGGAAAGGGACCTTGGAGGTCTTCTAGTCCAACCCCTTGCTCCAAATTGGTCCATTAAATCCTGGTATAATGTCATCCAGAGCCTAGATACACCTCAGAGGTTCTGTTTTGTTTTGCCTGCTTGTTTTTTGTTTTTTGTTTTTAATTCTTAAAACAACATAATGCCGCTGATTTGGCAATTAAGTCGGCCAGCTCATCCCATCATTCACTCATTTATTCATTCCAAATCTATTATCCTTTCTTAGCACAGAGTGATAATTGGAGCATAATCTCCCCACTGAAGTTCCACTCATAGCTGTTGGCAATAAGAGACGCAACACGTCAGATCCAACACGTCATTTCGCAAAAGAATCCATTCAAACGTAGCCGAATACCCTGGAGGTCAACTTCCTTGACGACATTTCCCAGCCTTGAATACGCCAGAAGACTGGACTACAACTTCCATCATCCTGAATCATCTTGGGGACAACCCAACACATCTGGGTACCACTTGACTCAAAAGAGGCTCCTTTGTAAATTTTCCTTTCGCCTATTTGGGTTATTGCGAAAAATTATTGGCGCCTCCCTTTGGCTTGCTCTGAAGAAAAAAGCATTTTAAAAAATCTCTAGTTTAAAGATGTCAACGATTTTGGAAAGCGTCGACATATTGTGTGGCATCCTGCTTGGCTGAAAGCCTTTTGTGCACTGCTGAAGTTAAGCAAAGTGAGAGAATGTGATCAGGAAACACGGTTTGATCTTTGGCGTGTATAAATCTCCATCCTGATCGCTGCCAAATGTTTGGATCACCAGAATTTCCTGTACAAAAAAAATGTTGTGGCTTCCAGTAACACACAAGGGGGACCTTCCCTCTTCCACCTAATCAGGCCCACTATTGTTCTCCAGATAAGGACATCTAGACTAATTTTAGGATGTTCTTAGCTCAAAGTTTTTATTTCTCCCAAATGGCCTCTGGTCTTGCCAAGTTCCCTACATTTTTATAGCCTAAAATAAAAATCCTTCGTCTGAGCCATGTGTTCTTTTTTTAAAAAAAGAGTTCTTTGTGACCTGGTCACAAATATCCTGGCCAAGCTACTGTAGGGTGTCTGATAATCTCACTCTTCGGTATGAGCTCTTGGGTTGCATTCTGAACTTTCTGCAAACAGAGATATTCAGGTAAATAGAAACTACAGGAGAAGAAAAAAAAAACACTAAGAATATAATGTGAATATAATGTAAGCAGATAAACTTAGGGTGAGGATCTGAGACTCACTGGAAAGTAGTTAGTGAACATATAAAGAACAGTTGCAGGAATTGGGTATGTCTAGTCCAGTGAGAAGAAGGACTGGTGTGTGTGTGACATTGTAGTAGTCTTCCAATATCTAAGGGGCAGTTGCAACTAAAAGAGGGTCAAGCTATTCTCCAAAGTGCCTGAAGGCAGAACAAGAAGCAATGGATGGAAACTACTCAAGGAGAGAAGCAACCTAGAACAAAGGAGAAATTTCCTGACAGTGAGAACAATAAACCAGTGGAATAGCTTGCCTTTAGAAACTGTGGGTACTCCATCATTAGAGGTTCTTAAGAAGAGACTGGACAGCCATTTGTCTGAAACAGTATAGGGTCTTCTGCCTGAGCCAGGGGTTGGACTAGAAGACCTCCGAGGTCGCTCTCAAATCTGTTACTATTTTTCTGAAAGGGGTTCGTGTTTTCCTCTTCTGCCAAGACCTTGTCTGCAGGCAAAAGATAACAGAATAAGAGAGTTGGAAGGGACCTTGGAGGTCTTCTAGTCCAACCCCCTCCTCAGGAAGGAGAAAGTTTGGGCAAACATTTTGCTGGGGAAAGATTTTGGAGAGGATTTTTGAGTTCATAGGAAGCATCCGCTGGTTTGAAAAACGGAAAAGGGTGTCCTCATGGTGTATTGGAAAAAATTCAACCTTCAGCTCATGCTCTCCTTTTGTGGGAGAGGTTTTGGATTAAAGAGGAAGCTGATACAGATAACCCCGAGTACAATCATAACTGTGACCCAAAACCTCTGTTGATAAATGAGACAGTTGTGAAATGAGTTTTGCCCCATTCTATGACTCCTTGTTAAGTGAATTCACCGCAGTTGTTAAGCTAGCCACACAGTTGTCCAACTGGAGTCAAGAGATTTCCTCCCATTCACCTACTTCCTCTCACCCTGACCACTTAGAGGACCTCCCACCCACCTTTGAAGACCCTAAGCCAAGAGTTAGGCACGAAGAGGGGGGCACAAAGAATCAGATCCATTGGTTCGATTGTAGCACAGAAGATTCATTCCAGCCTTTACACAAGAATCTAGCCAACACTAAGTTGGTGCCGGATAAGAGTCAACAGAATTCAAGAGAGCTTGGGCCACTTGTGGCAATGTAACCACTCTAAGCTCATGACATGCTTAACTCTACCCTCCAGCTCTGCCTGCTCTTCTCCTATAGGCACAGAGGCCTAGAAGACCTCGGAATGAGCTAAAGAGTCGGGTTCCCATCAACCAGGAAGATGCAAGTTGCAAAATCATGGGGGGAATCACGTTCGTTTGGTCTGTTGTGACAACATTGCATTCCAGATTTAATTGAGTTTGCTGCTTACAGGAAGAAAGCGGACAGATAACAAGGATTTCAGATCTTCTGACACAAGAGATGAGAGGCTACCTCATTCAGTAGATGTTTCCAAACCGGATGACGCGATGCGATCCGACAAAGAAACACAGCTGAAACACAATTGAATCTGATGAGTTAAGTATGGCTAGCCTACACACACTGTGATAGGATGCCTGTAATAGTCTGAAAATGATCTAATTATGGAAGGTATTATTGGAACAATATGCTTTGGCACTTTCTCAGCAACTCCAAACAGTCAACGCCAATTGCTTATTCAATATCAGACATGCTACTATGGAAAGAATGTATTTTTAGGCACCGGACCTGCAATTTCATCAAGATTGTAATATTCCCGAAGAACAAATGGGGAGTATTAACAATGGATCCCTGATTATAGCTTGCCATGTCGATGGCTGGGTGGTCTTTCTCCCAGCACATTTTTGCGCTGACTTCTATTCTTGCATGAAGACGCTCAACCTTTAATTTTCTCTTGGGATGCTTCCAAGATATTTATTTATAACTGCCTTTTCAGCCTGGAAGGTAGGATATAACACCTAAAATATTTTTTTTTAAATAAAAGAAGTAGAAGAGTTGGAATATCCTGTATGGTGGAGTCTGGACGTGACTTCCAGGAACTTTATATCTGTGGGAGCTTTGATGTTCTCTGAACTTGGTGGTTTTCTTGCAGATGTTTCATTACCAAAGTAGGTAACCTCATCAGTGTAAAACTGTTGGGTAATAAAATTGGGTAGAGTAGCTAGTTGGATCATGAAGCATCTGTAAGAAACCCGCCAAGCTTAGGTAGCACCAAGGACCCATATTTCAACCCTGAACTAGAAAGATTCTCTTCTACAGGTAACATTAGATCTTCCTCCCTAACTCTCTCCCAAAAGTTGCCCCATCATCACATTTAAGGTAGGTCTAATGCCTATACTCTTCAACTTCGGCCTTTGTACACTCCCGTGGCCCATCATGTGCACCTGTTCTGACCATGGTTGCAGCTACAGTTGTCTGCTTGGTGTGCCAAATGCAACAGTAGAGACACCACAGTGGAGGGTGTCCAATCTCCAACTAGAATAGAATCAGGAATAGAATAGAATAGAATAGAATAGAATAGAATAGAATAGAATAGAATAGAATAGAATAGAATAGAATAGAATCAGAAATAGAAGAATAGAATAGAATAGAATAGAATAGAATAGAATAGAATAGAATAGAATAGAATAGGTTACAATCATTAATCATAACATACAAATAACAAGTGATAAATCATAAGATACCGATAGGTGAAGGTAGTAGGAAAAACGAGGTGAGAAAGATGAGAAGATGAGAAGGATAATAGCAATGAAGCCCTACTACATGGGTAAATACCTTTAGGCCTAAGACAGTGCTGTGGGAATAAGGTGTTTAACAGAATGATGGCACGGGGGGGGGGGGAGAAATGGCTTTCTGTTTGAGCATGTTGCTTCGTCCCTTAACTCTTTTGGCATCTATGGTTTTCCATCTCCTAGTTCACTCCAGATTTATGCCAGGGGCTAAACCATGACATCATCCCCACAGCTCTTTTACCATCCCACAGTCTGGCTTCTCCAAATTGCAATTCCCAAAGCCGCTTTGCCTTCCCTTTCCTGCCTCGACGCCAATCACGAAGTTCTTTGTCTTACCCCAGAAGGCGACATGCTGCTTCTTCACCACAAGCAACTTTTTTTTTAACGTATATAAAAAGAAAATACCCAGAGTCTTAAGTTTTCAAACGGACAAGCCGCAACGCAGCAAAAGGAGGCCATTATGCAGTTGGGTTTCATTTCCTGTTAGGATGCCAAGAAGACCTTTGGAGAGAAAAGATGTTGAAACGGCAAAAAAACTGGATTTTTTTTTTTAAAAAAAAATGCTTTTCAGATGTGGAAGGAGGAGGGAAACCATCCTGTGCTTGCAAAAAAGAAACCCAGAATCCCACTAAAACCTACGAGAGCATTTCCCAGGAGTGTTTGAACAGAGAGTCTGCAACTTTAGCAAATTCTTCTTCTTTTGCCACCCCCGGAGAAATTTTTCTCAAGACAAAAAAAGCTGGAGGCATCAGAAAGTTGCCTCTTGGCCTTTTGCTTTCTGACTGTTCTTGGCAGCCAGGAAGTTTTCCTTGGATTTTTATTAATGGGCTGAATGACCTTTTCTTTATAAAGGAGAGGAGTCAGGCAGATTTCGGCGAGGTCCAAAAAAAGAGGGATTCTGAATGAGCAAATGTTGAACGCACACACACCCCAGACATCATGTATTCCCAGGGTTCGAATATAAGAACAAATAAGATGTAATTTTCCGACAAGGAACATCTCTTCTGGCCGGAGATGAAGGGGAAAGAGGGGGTGGAAGCATCCTTGCTTCAGGTTTGGGAATGTGCCTTGAAGTGATGTGGCCACAATGTTCCAACGAGGAGATACTTGTAGGAGAAGAGCAGAAGAACTCGGAGCCTAAAGGGCTGGAGTGAAATGTGTCATCAGCTCAGAATCCTTGCATTGACACAAGTGTTCCAACTTCAAGCCCTGTTGAGTCCGTTGACCCTTATCTAGGGCCAATTTAGCACTGACCATTAGTGGATTCTTCCGTAGAGGCTTCAATAAATCTTCTGTGCAGCAACTCAACGTAGTTGCTCCTGACAATGGTTTCGTGGAAATGAGTAGCTCACTTTGGATGCTTCCTGGATTGAAAGGATTAGCCAGCTTTAAGCTGTTGCCCAGGGGACGCCCGAATGTGTGAACAGCACACATTCTTCGCGGAGGCTCCTTTCATGTCCCCCACAAGACCCAGAGACATGAAGGCAGCAACACAGATGTATATCCGCCCTTGGTGCCCCCATCCACATACACTTGAGGACCTCATGGCAGCATGGCAGAATGCAATTGATGTTGCTAGTTTCTGGGCAAGATCAGTTTCAGTTGTACACATTTTAATCTTGTGTTTTATATTTTGTATTAAGAAAAGTAGAAATCAGGGTGACATGATAGCAGTATTCCAGTATCTGAGGGGCTGCCACAAAGAAGAGGGGGTCAAACTATTCTCCAAAGAGGGCAGGAGAAGAAACAATGGTTGCAAACTAACCAAAGAGAGAAGCTACCTGGAATTAAGGAGAAACGTCCTAACAGTGATGGCAATTAACTAGTGGAACATCAGAAGTTGTGGGTGCTCCATCACTGGAGGTTTTTAAGAAGAGGCTAGTCAGTCACTTGTCTGAGATAGTACGGGTTCTCCTGCTTGAGTGGGGGGGGGGCTGGACTAGAAGACCTCCAAGGTCCCTTCTAGCTTCTATTCTATTCTATTCTATTCTATTCTATTCTATTCTATTCTATTCTATTCTATTCTATTCTACATTGATTCTATTCTATTCTATTCTATTCTATTCTATTCCATTCCATTCTACAT